TATTTTTAAAATGGGCACTAAAGACCTGTTTAATTTTTAAATACTTTTACTAGTGCTAAAATTATAATTGGGCAATGTGGGGGTGGAGGTATATATCCTCTTTAGCATTCCATCCTTGATTTTAGAAAGGTTCTTAAAAACAAAGTTTTGAAATCCGACAGTCTCACCGTCCTAAATTGTTTTAGTTCATACACAAATAAATCGAGCAAAACTTGATTCTGATTAAGCAATGTTAACACGTGTAGTAAGAGGGTTGAAAAATTTAATAATAATGTTACTTTTTCAGTGTTTATCAAAAGCTATGATTGACATGGCCAAATTTATAGAAAAAAATTATAGATCAAGNTATGATTGACATGGCCAAATTTATAGAAAAAAATTATAGATCAAGTTATTCATTTGTAAAAAATTTTTTATTTAATTTTCATAAATTTGTTTTATGAAATAAGTAAGAAAAATTAGTCGTCGCCATTTAAATTTTTTATGTTAGGGTAGATTTTTACCCTTTTACATTAGGGTTGAACTTTAATTTTACTCTTAAAAGATGCATTTAATTAATCAATTAGCCTTAAAAAAAAAAAAAAAAATTAATAAAAAATTCAGTAGCGTCTCTAAAAAATTGATGTATCCGAAATTATTGATCATACTATAAATATGTAGATTTACTTGCTATTAATAACAAGGCTCATTGACTGAATAAGAAATTTAGGTTACCCAGGTGTAGCGCCCAGCGGGTCAACTTACTGTTTGTTCCCTTCGCTTTGTGCATATAAGTTAGCGCTGAATTATCTGTGTATAACTCGAAAGGGGCGTACTCTAAGTATGACCTAAATTTATCGGTTGCCCATATGATCGCTAGACATTCGCGCTCGACAGCAGCATAAGGTTTTTGCGTATCCGACAGCTTTTTACTCGCGTAAGCGACGATATCCTTTTCCCCCGGTTTTTTCCGTGTTGAAATAATACCGCCCCTACGCGGTAATTATTGATCATACTATAAATATTTAGATTTACTTGCTATTAATAACAAGACTCATCAACTGGCACACAACAAAAAAATATTTTAAATTATCGTTAAAAATAACTCGAAATTTTTGATGACTTAAACGAAATTTTAATAACCTTTGTTACGACTTAATAATCCATTTACAAATTACCATTAAAATAATTAATTTTAATTACTTCGGTTATTGGCTCTGCTATTAGATGTTTCATCAAATATAAGTATAGTTTTCATTGTTTCGTCAGTAATAATCGTCTCTTATAGCTTTTTAATGGCTATTTCGTAAAATTCTTAATTCTATCGACGTATTAGACTCGGTAATTTAAAGTTTAAATAATTTTCGGGATTCTATTTTTAAATAAATGTAAACATTAACTTTATTGTAAATAACTTAATAATGATTTGTAAGCAGATGCATAGATGCAAGCTGTGTTAAAAAATTTAGCACAGCTATTGTTCTGCAAATAATTTCTATTATAAATTATAATTATTATGTATATTTGTTACTTCAGGGCATAAAATTCACAGAGAAACGTTTTGATAATATAAAAATATAAATAAAAATTCAACCCGTAATTTAAGTTTGCGAATTATTATGATTTCTATAAAAAAGTGATCCATTTAAAAAGCAAAATTTATGAGTAATCCGACGAAATACATTTTTAACAATTAAGACGATTGATCACTTCTTTAAAGAAGTGATGGATAATTATCTATTTTTCTATTCAAATAATATCCTAAATAAGACGAGTAGTAAAAAAATAAATACTTAATACTAAAATTGTAATCATACAAAAATCAAATATTACTTTTATATTACATAAAATTTAATGAAATTCAAATAAACTATTAATATGCCTAAACTAATGTGGGAAAAATTATTGTTTTAGTATTTTACTAATTTTATTATTCTCTTTTAATTTACGATATAATGTAGTTGTATTCACGCGGGTTCGTTAACGTTGGTGGTTTAATTTTGTTTTAAGTCTTTGGCTATGTCGAAGATAAGGAATAAGGTGTGTGCACTGTATGAATGAATGTAAAATGAATATTACATTATATAATTATAACAATTAAATGTATTATACAAATATCATAAAATTTTATATACACCAATGTGGTTAGGGGGGACCCTTAATACTAATGTCACAATGACGCTGATATAAACAAATAATAAATTATAAAAGTGTGTAAGTCTAAGAGAGAAGATGAACAAGCATTATACTTACCGACTAGTTTAAATGACGGATGATAATGTTGAATATTGAAAGGATCAACTGAAATTAAATGCAAGTGGTTGACCAACGTGTACAATATGTTGTGAACTGTATTTTGATGTATCTCAGAAAATATATAGACCCAACGGCGATAAATTGAGCGCACAGGGTACGACAATCGCAAAGGTGATATTTTACTTTTACAACAAAACTGCTGACTCACAAGCGCCATAGAGCTTATAACAGAAGAAGCGTTAAGATGGTGGCGACAATGGTGACATAGAGAGAAGACCGACAACAACTCGATGTAGCACAACGATAGCCTAAATAAGCACAACACAATTTCGCGACAGCATATCGATGTGTATCCAACAGTAGTATTTCAACTATAAATTTGACAATGAAAAAGAAACATAAAATGTTGGAGTAATCCTGAAAAAACAGCAGGGACATTAAAAGGAACTGTCAATAATTAATTTTTTATACTATTTATCATTATCCGAACATTAGCCGTTTAGATAATGTACAATCTTACTTCTTGACATATTTATCTTATAAGTTTTTAATTAATTGTTCCACAGAGGAACTTGCAATGACTTTGGTCTACACTCACTCTCCTCCAGACGTAAATTTAATGATACATCTTTTATTCTTAAAATTTTATATAATAATATTCAATGTCCCGAAATACTTGAAAAAATTGATTTGTCATTTCCGACTTTTTATACGAGATCAAAAACTGTTATTTTATCAGTCATTCCACTGTCAATCATATAGTTTTAATGAACCCAAAAGTCGTATGCTTCGGGTCGCAACAGCCTCGATAGCTTCGACTTTAACTAAAATTCTGAGTCTAAGCTTCGTCATTTATGTTTGAATTGTAATTTATAATTATACGCGTTATCTTTTTTGTTTTTTTTAATAATGTATTACCTTTATATTTATTAGCAAACGTTGTCGTTACGTTTAAAAATCTTTTTTATTTTACTTAATCGTAATCTTAAGTTAACTATATATTGAATTTTTTGTACACTGTCCTGCCTTCGGACGTAAATAAATAAATAAATAAATTATGTAGACTCGAAAATTATCAGTGACTTTCCGGCGTTCGTAAAGGTTTTTAAAATTATTTTTAGAATCAATAATGCTCAGGTCTATACCAACTCTCGATTTAGTATTCTCAAAAACCGCATTTGCAGGCTTTCAAATTTTTCAATCAAACTCAAATGATGAATAGATCAAATTACATTCTAATATGAATTCGATGTACTTCTATACATACAATTGCGTTTTAAAAAACAATATATTTATTCAATATTATCATTATGATTTAAACGTCGATGCGGTTGTAGATACGATGGCGTGACCGCAATGTATGGGCTGTTGCTGTCAGCTGCCGAAACGAGCGTCTGTCGGAGTAGGCTGTACATCGAACCTAGTGGGGACTCCCTCGGCGCATTGCCATTGGTGGACCAAAGCCGCGCCTTACAGTTGCCACCACTCCGGTAGCCCCCGTCGGTCGAAACGCATTGGCCCCCTAAAATAAACCAGATTCGCCAGTGCAAGCCGGCAGGCGCTCCGGATAGTCCACGTTTTCGTCGTTGCATCGCGTTGATCGCCGACCGGCTTATTCGAACTGACTATTTTTCGAATTCGCTAAAATTTATTGGAATCTCGACCGGAAATTTAAAAGGTTACTAAATACTGTACGAAATTTGTACTTGTTCGATCGTACATTATAACACTGTCTATTGTTTAAGTGAAGTTGTTTTTTATACTGTGCGATATTGTTTTACGCTCATCGACATGCTAGCAGAGGCTTTCAGCTCTTGACATTTGTTTTGAAGGCAGCCAATAGAATTTCAGGCATTTATTACGATTGGATATGCTAACACGTTTAATTAACACAAAATGTAAGTAAAAAATGCAAATTACTTTTCTGCTTACAAGAAAATTCACTTCTTAAAATATAATATCTTTGAATCTTTAAAAATTGAACGAAACATTTTTTGGCAAATAAATAAATGTTTCTTTATTATTAATGGAATAAATTACATTCGATTCAAACTTAGTGCTAACAGAGACTTAAACGCTCGCGACGGGTATGTAAATTAATTTTTTTATATCACTGCAGTACAAACTATTATCGTGCAGGTATCGTTTTAACTTCTCATTTGAATGCATCAATAAAGTAATTAGACTAAAATGTTTATCGCGAAATGCAAGTGTAACTAGTTTAATCGCGTTTTACAACTGCAATGCATGTCTTTGGGTTCATATACAGCGACAAATTAAATATCTTTAATGATGTAGTATTGCGTGCATCGTACAAGTCGGTGTTTGCCGATTAATATTTAAATTAAAATTAAATATCTTATCAGTTCTTGCCATTAACAATTTACTTTCTTCTCATCGGTGCTGTGACTCTTTTTAATAAATTCTCGTTAAAACCCAAAAAAAAAAAAAAAATACTTATAAAAATCGCAGTCGAATTATACATTTTCAATTCGCACTAATCGTTCAAGTCTCTCAGTAAATAATCTCGGCATCCTGTAGAATTTGCTATTTTATTGACGTTTGCTGTTCGATTGAATTTTCGTCACAGTAAAGTTTTTCTAAAAATCGAGTTTTTTTTCTTTAAAATGCCATGTTTTTATATTTATGAGATTTTATTAAGTTTTTTGGAACGTTAGCAATGGTTATGTTATTATAAGGACATTCTTACAACTATCACATGTTTGAAATATCTCTGTTGGAAACGTCGATGAAAAATAGCACTGAGTTATAGAATTATTTATCGGTATTTGCTTGTAATAGGATATGTTTGGGATCGCGATGATCACTTGTGTGGGCGAACGGATCACGAAGATCCAGCGCGAACACGGAATGGGCGTAAAGCTTATGTGTACATTACTTTGAAATATTTCCATACACACGGCCGTTAATAGACTAATAACAATATATCGATTTATAAACTCGATAGCGGCGGCAGCAGCAGCGGTAATTATAACGATATAAAATATGAGTACGGAATATTTTTTAATTAATTTAGTTATAACCCGATCGCGACCCGGCAATGTGGTACACGCCCACGCTCGATCATCGATTAATCGGTCTAAAATGAAAACACCGTGTGCAGGTACGCTATTGCGCGGATCCATCGATTATTAATTAATAATTTATTAAATTATAGACTATTATATGGTATGTTATTATTGCACTAATACGGCAGGACGCGTCCTCTGTACATGATGCATGTCCGGTCTACGATCTTCGTGTGAGGTTTTCGTTTGCATTGAGTTCTTTCCCTGCTCCTCTTACATTTTTAATTACACCGAGTGATTTTTAAAACGACCGCTTCAACTGACGGTATCGCATAGATTTCAATTTAATATCTCTCGATATACTTATAACAGAATAATTGTAGAAAAAGTATCTCCATACTTTGATTTCTATGGCTATTGTAAAATAACATATATATATATATATATTACGAAACGTTTGAAAGAAGGTCTTGTATAGCTCTATAAATAGGCAGTAATTGTTTCAATTATGTAACTAAAAAAGACGAATCTATTGTATGCGACCGAGTAAAAATATTTATCGCGGCCGCGGTCACACGAGTATATAATGTAGTTTTATGAGCGACAAGCACAAGAAAAACAATCATGCAAACTAACGCATCTCGCAGCAGTAAAACGAGCTCCATCAATAACTCGGTTGCGGCTAAAACAAGGCTATCGTGGGTATAATTACAAATTACATTGATCGCTTAATATGCAAATTATAGTGGCACATAGATTTAATGATACACAATAATCGTTAACTGACCAATTCGCAAATACGAAACTCAATTGGAAAATGAGCGAACGCACTTAAAGATTTTTTAAAAATCTGGTTTTAAAACATAATGGCGAGTGCGCTTTAATCTCAAGTCGACGATTTTAATCGACAACCGTTTTCGGTGTCGATACAATAGAGATTTCTTTTTCGACGCACCATAGAAAAGGTCTCCACGACCGTTCGCTGGGTTCATTGATGACGCGTGCTGGGATGAGTGGATTATATTACACCGTGTGTTGTACCCGTGAGCCGCCGAGGAGAAGCAGCCGACAGCGGTTACACGGAAAAAACAAAAAAAGAATAATAATAAAAAAGAACAACGGAAAGTAACACTACGTGTAGCGCACTCGCCGGCAGTATTACTATTTGTACTCGCTTTACACTCTAATACAATAATAATGGTAATAATAATAGCTCAGACTAATGAATACCGGATATTTCACAATTACTTGCTAATGGACATCACGATATCCGACCATTAAGACCCGCTGCTTTGCTCGCACCCACTTTTCAGATGCGCCTCTTCTATGACGCGTGTGTATCAATGTTATGATGATTTTCAAGGTGACCCACATCGCCCGCAAAGAATACACACTGCAATAAAAACAAACTTGTGCGTATCAATAATGATCGTTCAAGTTGAAATTGCACAAGTGTTGGACGCGGTACAGCACATCATCGCCATTAATGGTATCATTTAATTTGTTTTGGAATTTCCTAACCCATCGAAACCAGTTTGAGTATCCATCGTAGAATCCGACACGAGGAAAACAATGTTCATGCGATTCAACGAGGCTAAAAAAATTTCATGAAAATCGTTAATTAAGTTTTATCCGAAGGCGTTAGAACATTGAAAACGTGTCAATATGTATCGGTATATTATTAGTGAGTTGGTTATAGTCCTTACTTTTTTTTGTCCGTTTAACACAAAATAAACTTGTGATTTGCATAAACGGCACGTCATAACGTTTCCATTGATATTACATGGCACAATGGACCGGTTTCATTAACATCAGGCTTGTTTTATATGGACCATCAACGCGTGCATTGTTTTCTGTGCGAGACTCGTCCTCTAGTTTGCTTTCGATGCACAATGTGTCAAATAAGATCTACAATAGAGTTTTACACACACACACACACACACACAATTGCGCCGAGTAATAATAATACCAAACTATGGAAGATAAACACGACTCGTTACTACACCGAGTGGCGACGCCCATAAGTATAGATTACAATAATTATAGGAAAAAAAAAATGCCTACGTACATTTTTTACTAGTGAATTGTTGTCGCAATATGACAAAATTTAACCGAAACCAAATTGCCGCACGTGTACATAATTTGACGAGAGCTATTAATCTAACATTTGTGTAATATCTGCAATATAATCTAAAGCGTGCGGTTTAGTCAGCGTTTTTGACGTTGTTTTTCATTTAAATATTGTATTTTATTACCTGCAACAAGATAATCACGAGTTTTACAAAGACGAAATAGCAATGACAATTTTATACTCCTCCGTACAATCCGTTACTTATCCGAAAACGACGCATTTCCTTGGTTAAAAAAATTATTTAATCATTTTGTTCAGTTTGCAGTAAAATATGACTAACGATTAGTCATATTTTCCGCGATTTCAAATATTACAGCCACTTCCAACAAAATATTTCAAACAGAACTCAATGATTGTGACCGGAGTGGCTCTTCATAGGTAAACGATTATCATCTTGAAAAAAATATCATGTACATGATTGTGCATTCTTTACACTCACGAGTACTTAGCAGCAGTCGCAGCTCGCTACACTTACCCTAAATGTGTTTTGAAACGTTATATCCATTTATATTATCGAGGTGTCTAATTTAAATGCGACACGGTAGACGGTCTCGGGTGCTTACGACCCCATGAACGAAAAAGAACAAAATAATATCAAATCATTAATCACAGAGCAAAACGTTTCGCGGTATATGCAATGCCATATAAACGTAACCGTATACATTTTTTTACCATCATCATTATTATACCAGCTTCTTATCCGGGCCGCTACCGTTTTGACGGAAATCTAAATGCTCTCCTATTGTGCACCGCCCAGTGCCTAATGATGCAAAAGAATATTATACACTTCTGAATCGGTCTTGTTATATATTCTCCATATGCGAGTGTAACAATATGATGCCGAACGTGGAATCCTTTTCAACTCGGTAACCGTTTATTGCGTTTGGTTGATGATAATAATTCTCCTGGAGAGAAATACTTTTTAAAGCGGACAAAAAGAAAAAATTGACAACAGTAACGTTAATCTCATCTGCTTCGTGTATTATTGTTAGCGCGCAAACACCAGCATCGATCATTGTCATGCGGATCGGTTGGACTACTGTCATCAAAGGACCAAAGGACACGCATCAGTCAGACACATACGACACTGTGCCGTTATTTAGATTTTATTATTATGACTTTTTGTCGCAAAAGTAACCATCATAAAATTTAATTGGTCAACGAAACGCTTAGTCACGGTGCATTCTATTTATTACATTAAAAAATGTTACTGCAGCATATTGATCCATCACTGTTGTGCACTACTGTCATGATAGAATCACGGCAGCAACGCGCTGTCGTATGATAAACGCTAAATCAAAGCATCAGTCTTAAAAAGGAAATAAATTGGTCGTGTTACTGTTCAGAACTGCAATGCTATTAACATACAGAAAAGACGTTATTCAATGGCGATATTTTTTAAAGTTCATCAATGAGATAATTTTTTATAATAATTTTGCATTGTCGTTCACACGCATTTGAATATAAACTATAAGAAAAAATAACAAAAATCCACCGTAGTGGAAGGAGAACCGCGATAACGGCCGTTGTCCGAGAAGTTCTCATCGGCCCTTGAGCAGTTGTCTGAATATTAGATGACATTATGTATATTTTTTCTTGTAGTAGTCATCGTGTCGCCATCGTCACCGCTGAGTGACAGATTGTTTATATAAGATCTCAAGTGCCGATGCAGTTGTTTTTTTCTTTCTTAATCATTATAATAACAACAATAATAGTAATAATAATATGGTCTCGACATTACCTTGTGCATGAGCGTCACAGAACAATGAACCGTACGACACGCATCATCCCTTTCACACTGTTAAAAAAGCCGACGACGACTGAAGTGGTTTTGCAAAACACGTCTCCTAGCACAATATTAATGATCATACTCGTAACACGCATAGGGGATAGTTAAAAAGAACTTCTCGAGACACTAGTCGGCATAGGGTCAACACAGCACATAGGACTAGGTGTACATGTTTACGGTTAATTTGTCAATGACAAAAAGAAGTGACGCTTACATAAGGAAGTATTTTGAAGAGAGAGACAGAGAGTTAATATTGTTTGAGGGATTAAGCGGATGACTTTGATTAAGTTTCGGGCTACTGGCGAGCAGCTGCCACGCGGTTGATGGCATGAAAACCGTTTGGTCGATTGCCAAACAATCTGCTTTAGGTGCGAACGCATCAGAAATACAAATAGCTATTCTGCAACAACCGTTGCGATGTACGCAGACGCATTTTCTCAAGTTTGCCGCTTGGACTTAACCGTAAAGAGTTAATGTAGCGCGAGTAGAGTACTTGGATTTTATACGTCATCTGGTACACGCATTACTATAAGGGACTGTGGTATTTAGAGACCAATTAAAACTTAAATTAAATCAGCGCGCATAACAGTTTTTGTGGTTTTCATTTACAATAAAGTCAACCGGTAATGGCCATCGCTCTTAATTATGAACTCGTGTAAAACTTGTCCGCAGACCACAATAACAAAAATAATAATATGTAAAACCGTCAGATATAAAAGAAGAAATCCAAACGAGCAGCAAAGCCTACGATGAAAGTCAAGTAGAATGTCATACAGGTTTTTTGTAGAATGCGACTATTTAGTTTTACAAAATGTTTTATTATAAAATTAGAATAACATTTAGTGTATTAAATATTATTCTTCTTAAACGTTGATCCGGTTAGGCGCGGTGTCAAATTTCCTGTCATGAACACGAGAAAAACTAGATAAAACTATAAAAGATACTAGGAAATATGTTTGTCTTAAAGTATTATATGTTAAATAAGTTTGTAGTCGAATTTCTTACAGTCCATAATTAATGACCACCGCCGAACGGGCTGGTCAATGTTAAAAAATTCGGAATGTTTGTTAATTCGTATATTCAAACGTAGAAAGTCAACTGTCACAATTTAAATAATACTATTACTACGTTATTTATGTAACGCTTTTATTGTGGCGATAATAAATTGAAGAGGATCAGGAAGCTGAGTACCATATTTGACCTCGGTATACGCAAGAGTGATTGGTTATATTTTGAAAAGTTTCAAACGACTAGCGTTCTGGCTCCTACGTTTTATGACACATTATATAAATGCCTATTCATAAAAATATAATCTTAATTATAAGCCAAGTGTGTAAATAAATAGTAATTTACATTATTCATACCAAATGAAATCCGATGATATGCGCACGTAGGTGAAAAAGAAGAAGAGTATTAGTGTGGCCGTCCGCTACTGAATTAGGAAGCCGGCCAAATCAGCAAACCGGTCCCATTTTCCACCAGCATCAATTTTTTATAGACACGCGCTGAAACATCCGAGAATCGGCGTGTCGAAAAACAGTATATTCCGAGCAAGCCGTACACGTGCTTAACCCCTTTTGGCTGTACAGCCAAAAGGGCCTCTGTCTACCGACAGTTGTTGACGAATGGCTAGCGATTAGGTAAATTTTTTACTCTACTAATCAGTCATTCGAGAATGTCCAGTGAGCATTTACAGATTGTTAGGATTGCCGTGCAAGTTAATTGCCACAACCGTTTGGAAACGGTCGTATTTCGGTAGCGCCCGAATCGTTTTGAATGTTACTGTTGTTGTTATTGTTGTTACGTTGGGTGGGCTGCCGCGGCAGTGAAGACAACACCACAGTACAGTGTGTTGGGTCTGTTTCGCGCCAGAGAAGAGCGTATACCGGTCGGCGGCCCACGACGTACGCCCACCGGGTACGGTGTTGGTCAGTCGCCGATCAGATATATTATTTTTTTACATTATTCTTTGCTCAGATCGCGCGTACAAAGTTTAATTAAACTCGGTTAACCATATTAAACGATATCGTCCGGTAGCAGTTGGAAAATGCGTGAGCATAACGTATTAATTTTATCACACGTTGCGTCACGTAAACCGATTTTGAAGATCGATAAAAAAACTCGCGGTTTTCGGTACTAACTCGGTGGTCTCTACAGCACCGTAATGTTCTTGAGAGATCTATAGGCCTTATGACAATCTCAAAGTCCCTGGAACTCTGTTGGAATTCTTCAGTAGGCCGTAAACACGTACCACGCTTACGACATGCGACTCCACTAAATTTCACGTGGAATCTCGCTACCTGTGATATTACCATAAATATGGCCACGCACATAGATCCTCGGCTCTGATAACAATGTATCGCGACAGTGACCAAAAGTAAGCCTTTTCTGTAGATTTACAGTCGAAAACCACAACAGCACTGCTGCCGCCGCTTGCTCATCTACAGTGGCTCGGTAGCATGTCGAACGCGTCTGATAATTATTTCGTGACTTGGGGCAACGATGATCATATAAATACATGCGCACCGCTTTATTGATTACCACTGGAACATCCGCTACGCACATGGCATGCTTAAGAAATGTAAAATAATAAAGCGATAAATAAATATACACACTGTACGCGTGCAGTAAGTTTAGATGTACACATTGACTCGCTGATATACCGGGAAACGAGTCGTTAAAACAAAAATACACACACACCTGGTCGACGGATATTAATCTCGATTAGTTGGCATGACGCGAAATCGTCTTCACTGCGGTTGCGCATTCATAGAAACTAATTCTAGAACAATTACTTAGTACGAAAAAAATATAACATAGATCCAGGCAAAGCCATACATTCCTCGATACGTAACTACCGAGTAGTAGTTCTTTTTAAATATTAAAATAATATGTTAATGTCACATACCAGTGATTTTTTTGGGTTACCTACACATCAGTGTAGATATCCTTGACCAAATCGTTTTAATGTATTACAGTGTTATAATATATATATATTAAGCAAAAAAAACATCCTATAATTCGACGAGGTCGTGCCCATCATTAATATTTAAGCCCCTGTCGCCTATATTTCACGTAATATGTAATAAATATTATTATTTTTTTTACTTTATAGATGAACCAACAGTGTAAAGTTTGTGGAGAACCGGCCGCCGGCTTCCACTTCGGAGCATTCACCTGCGAGGGCTGTAAAGTGAGTATTTTATTTTATACAAACATCTCCGTTTATAGTTTATAAGTTTTTTTTTTTAATTATATACATTATTATTGAACGGTAAATAAACACATAAACAATAGAAAGAAGTCATCCATAATTCTGATACATGTGTGCGTATGAAATGTAAGGAAAACGCTAATTACTAACCACTGTACTTGTCACGTACGCAAAGGTATAAAAAAATAAAATAGGAATTTTATTTTTCCTCTTGTCTCGTCTTTGCGTGTCTTCGATAAATTAAGATATTATATACTACTCGGTAATTAATTTAAACGTATCAAAAGTTCGAGTAAATTATGTTATAATAACATTTGACAACTGAAAATGTTTGCCGAACAACTATAATAATACTATCGGGAGTTAACATAATGGAGGTATTTGTATGAATTTTCGTGATAAGACATCTCACTCGTTTTACTAAGAAGATAAATAAACCGTTTAATTGGGGAAACTTAAACGCTCGAATGTTTAAAAAATCGCTTATAATGAATTTCACTTAAGCAATTTTCACAAACTATTATTCTATTTTCGAAGAACAAATTTGATCATTTATAAATAATGCGTTTAAATACGATAATATTTGAAACAATTGCGTGAAACGAAAATGTTTTTTCTTGCAGTCCATTTGAGACTATATGCGTCAGGCAATGATAATTCACAATGATAAATTGTGACGAAGGAATTAGAGTGCGCTCATCCGACGACTTAGCGACCGGTTCTCGGCAGGACGATCTAGTTATGTTGTGTGGCCCGCAGCGGGTTATGGAATGTGACGGCATCCTTCGCCTACATCTTTGTGTGTCCGCGGTCGCGCGCGCTCGTACGTGAGATAAATGTCAAACCGTCCGATTGAAAAAATAACAAACGGTAGAAGAAAACATATTGGTTTCATGTATAAAATCTCATGTATATATCGTTACGCTCACTTTAATGACAACGACCTAACTATTGCCACTAACTAATTGTCTATCTGTGCAAACCGAGCTATTAGCACTACACATCACCGTCGTGACATCGATCGTCTTCTTTCTTGGAACCTGCGGATCGTGTCGTTAAATTTGTAGTATGCGCTGTAACGGCCAACATTTTATATCCCGAGCGCATCACTTAGCAACAAATGACATTTTTTATTGTTTTACGAGCATCCAATGATTTTATTGAACCCGTTTCCGTTGGTTTTTTAATATTCGTTGAATTATTAGTAGCTTAAAATTTCACCGTTTCCGGAGTGATATTTAATAAAAAATAAAATACAACCGATTAGGAATTGTTGTCATTGTCGTCTCATACGACACCACCTAATGCCTGACAAAAGTCGACAAGTTCGATACGTGTTATTCTGTCTGCGCCATGTTAATAGTTTTCACAAAGATACGTGAACTCTACGAACTCGTCATCGACAGGTTACCATAATGATACAGGCGTGAAATTTCCCAACTCTAAACGCGCAATATGCTCCACGGTAACAATGATAACGTATATTATGGTCCCGTTGATTTTTCGTCTATAGATAGCTCGGGGTGCCGCCGCCATTGTAGCGGTTTGTTATTGATAACGCGCTGGTGTAGATTAAACGTCGGACACGTTACCTGTCGTTTCATTCACAGATCTCGGAGGAATACCACTGGACATGATTTATGCGGTACGCAGCGTCCAGCCGCCCTCGCTTTACATATATGTGTGTGTATATATGACTCATTAGTGTTTAGATACGGATCGATGGAGGCGGCCGCACTACATTCTATGTGCGTTTCGCCACGAAGACATCTCGGTCTGCATAATATTATTATAGACGCGTACGCTTGTGTGTATCGTCTCGTGTGATCTATCGTTTTTAATAACGCGGCCCGAGTCGAAATCATATTATATATCGTGTGCACGGTCGTGGGAATAATGTCAGTGTCTCGGCGACGCGGTGGATCGTAGCTCCGAGCTGTACACACACACCGGACACGCCCTTATATTACATGTGCACATGATCTCGCGACCGTATTTTCCGGCTAAACGCCACGGATCCATTCATATAATATGATTATACTTGACCACGCACTCACGCATCACCTACACCGTAACACGAGCCTCGCCGTACAAAACTCCGTGTTGTGTTCCCTCGACACGGTTTTCACGTGCAGTTCCCTTACATTGCGCGCACATTTTCTCATTCGCGTTACTCTCGGTCGCATCATAACACCCCGTTCACCGCGTCTGCACACCTCCTGGACACCCTCCTAATTAGCTGTTTGACCGAACAGCGCGGTGTCACTGTTCTCAGTAACTAACGTGCTGTTTGTTTGTTTGTTTTACAGTCTTTTTTCGGCCGAACCTACAACAATTTGAGTTCCATTTCGGAATGCAAGAACAATGGCGAGTGCGTCATCAACAAAAAAAACCGGACATCGTGCAAAGCGTGCCGACTCCGGAAATGCCTATTGGTGGGCATGTCAAAGAGTGGATCCAGGTACGGTCGCCGATCTAACTGGTTTAAGATCCATTGTCTCCTTCAAGATCAAAATGCAGCAGCGGCTGCGGCCACTCATGGCCACCATCGGCCCCCTTCTCTCAACATGCCCGGTGGTTTTAACGGGTCGCCCCTATACCAAGCCGGTTTGATGCACCCCGGACATCATTTCCTCGCCACCGACAAGTTCCTGCAGGCCCGGCTTAACGGTTATGGTGCCGCGCTCATGGCACAAGACGACGCGTCTTGCCGAACGGCCGGTGACGCGGCATGGGTGAAACGTGAAAAGTGTTCGGCGTCTGACGATTCCGGAGGTTCGTACATGCATGACGATGAAGACGGGTCGTGCAAGGCCAGTCCAGTGCGCCGGCATAGCCCATCGCCGAATCCTCCCGACATGGCTCCGTCGCCTTCGTCATCCACGTCCAGCGATGCTAAACGCGTCCGACTATCCGTTAGCCCGACCACCGTTCTCAACCCTCGCGTATCTGGTTTTCATTCGCCGTACTACCCGTTGTCTGTCACTCGGCCGGGCCTTACACCTTTCGGCGGAGGTCTGACACTTTCAATGGCTACGGCGGGTTGGTACGCCAACCGTTCCGCTACTGGTGGTGATCTCATGTTATCCAGTCCAGCACCGGGTGGTGTCGCTGTCGAACAAGAATATCCAATCGACTTGTCTTTTAAGAGTACCTCTTCGCCTCCCCCAGAACAGCAATATGCCAAATACAGCCGATCGCCCCCTCATTCGGACATAAAATCAACAGAGGCTTCTTTACCTCTACCGCCGTCGCCGCTAGATTTGACGAAGAGAACAGCTGAAGTGTCATGTGATTAAATGGTAATCGCTAAACATTCTATAAAAAAAAAAAACCCTTTGTACACGAAACCCGTAAAAATTTTTTTTGTAAATATGATGTAAACAACTTAATTTTATTTCATTGCTAAACGGTAGTTAAATCATAATATTATATTGTTATTATATAATAATTGTCGCCATTTTATTTTTGGCATCGTCCTAGTCATTTTAAACAAAGAATAGAAATGTAAGCCATACGATAACAACAAGAAATAGTTAATCAGCGACACGCGAGAGCATGCGTACCTAATAATTTAATTGTAACCGGTTGTTTAAAGGATGATATTTACATTGCGGTAACCCCGTTGTCCATTTTGGGTTGTCGAGAAAAACAAGCAAATGTAAAACAAAAAACCTTTGGTGGGCATAACACGGTATCAAAGACAATAGGAGTTTGTCATACTCGTCGCCGTATCATGATAATGACACTAACAATACCGGTGGGCGTCTGTCTTCGGCATTATATTACTGTACTGCAAACATCTTAGGTCCACACCTGTAATTTATTACCCGTATTTCAAATATTATTATTATTATGTGGTAAACAATAGCACAACTTAATTCGAGCTCTCGTTTATGACATTAACTAAGTGCAAAACGAGTCCAAAGCCGTACAGACAAATCGCCCTTTTTCTCTCTTAAACAATTCCCATAAAAATGTAAACCACGTGTTTCTATTTTATTTATTTTAAATTTAACTATATATATTTTTTCGATAATTTTACAATTCTTATTTAAATATTGTTTTATATAATTATATTATGAATTTTTTTTGTATGATAAGTTGTTATTATTTTCCAATTAGTATAAGGGATACGGCCAGTATGGAATATCTTAATGTTTGTACATACTTATAACGATATTTATAAATTATTATAAACATTAATAATAGAATATTAAAACTTGTAATTATTAGTTTATCATTTTATTATTATCATATTTTTCTTTTCTTTTTTTTTTTTGTTATCTATATTATTACAAATGATGTATAAAACGAATCATAAAAGCATGTACAGCTTTAGACAATAAAAAGAATTTGTTAAAAATAAAATACTAAAAATTAATTTTTTTAATAATACTATTTTTCATCTTTCCTCTCTTGACACAAAAATAACAAACTAACGCACTCACATTGGCAGCAGCGTTGTTGAGATTTGTCGAACGAAGACTTAAACAACATATTGTTTATTTTTTTAGAGTATAATATACACATTATTATTTTAATATTCTACACAGTAGTTCTATTTCATTCTTTAGTTTTCTCTGAACTGCACGTTGGTTAATTGTTGGGAATCATTTATGATCATTTGTAAGTGCTATAAAAAAAAAAAAAATGCACATAAAAAGAAATATTGAGTTAGTCACGACTCGGTCGATATTACTACTAGGAAAGGTCAATTTAATAGGAATTAATGTTGCTCGGATTTATTTCCAATATTATGTATGTGATTAAGTAAGAATTAAATTCATTCAAGAATAAAAATCTAAGTCAAACCTAAAACAAAAACTATAATTATCATTGAAATAAAAATGTACTACGACCTTGATAAGTAGTGCACGACCGCATGTGATTTTTGTCCCGATGGCAACGTCACTCGAAGGACTAACCACGTGCCAAAGAACATTTGGAAACTCGGTTAATTATTACATTATATTATTATTCTTTGAAATCTTCCATCTGTGTTAATGTTGGTGAAAATATGAGTATAATATTATGTTATTTATTTAATATAGCATTGCTTATAAGTTGCACTAGAGTGATCACAGTTGTTATTACACGTGTGGTAGATGACTATATTCATTTATTTAATATAAAATGGTCATTGAATGAACCTGTGATGCTCCAATCGAAAGATATCTCCTTAATCTGTTGACAGCTCAACTGTGCGAGATGTCAATGAAGCATGAGAGGGTATCCGATAAAGTTATTGATGAACTAAGTAAGTATCGCCTCTACATTGACAAATCATAAAATAAAAATGTAGCCTTCTTCGGGCACCTGTAAATAAATTATAATTTATTAGTTACTAACTAATAAATTATATATTTGCAATTATTTGATTTGCATGTACTAATAGTTAGTAGTTAACCCATTTATGTATTGATTTTGCATAATGCTGATGGTGGCGTCCGACCTATTGCAAAATACCGAAATCAGTACTGGTTTACATCTTAGTTTACTATATATGTTAATATTATGATGTGTAGTGATGATGATTAAAAATAATACTATTTATATTTGGGCGACACAAAAAGATTTTATCTAGACAGTCAAAAAATATTGTTTGTGCATTAGGTATCGCAATAGGTCATTGCGTACTTTGCTGTTTCGGAGTGTTAAAGATGACACGGAATTGCGAAATGGCCGCAAATAAAAAAAATGAGAGAGTGAGAAAAAAGTTGATTACGGTTAACAAATAATTTGTAAAAACACGAAGGTTAAAATAATCTTGTTATAAAAAATAATCGTACAGTTCATACACGTTAACCACCTCGAGTGTAACACATTTGACACTAAAATATGTTGATAACAGAGATATCGGATGACTGCCAGCACTTCCTATGTTATTTTGTTAAAAAATATTCATTGATTTTAACTATCAGCAGCTACCGAAAAAATCAACTATGAAATATTTATAAAACAACTAGCTATCTGACAGGACAATACGTCCATTTTTTTAGCTGATAGTTTTTAGTCCAATCTCATATAATGCGTTATTCTGAACGTAAATCTAAAAAAGCAGTGGCACGTCTCCCTCATAAGGAATAATTTCGCTGTAGGCACACGACGCGCAGAAAATTGCATTATAGTCAAATCGGTGCAATGGAAGTGGTCGAGTTAAAAGCCTCCCAAACCCGCAGCAACATGATCATTGATATGTTCACTTTCTTTTATGTCCATTGGCCATAAACGATACGTGTGTGCATAATATTAATTGCCCCATAAAAACGCGACCCGCACGCTTCATCTTCAATAAACAGTGATCATCATGAGCGCACACGTTCACGTTTCACAATCATTTCTGCTGTAATCGTATGTGTATCTAACGCAGCTACTGCCCAAGTTGGACACATGCGTACGAGTAACTCAGATTGTAAGTGTGGTCTCCAATGACTCGATGGCAATATTATTACTTCTATTGTTTTACAATGTGATCCACATGGAAAGATTTCACAAAATGTAGACAACGCGAACTGCTTTGTTGGAGAAACCTAATAATGCAACATGATGTAATGTCGGTTATCGGTAACCGTGCAGTGTAAAATCGATGGTGGCTGATAGCGTTTACATATTTCCCACTTGGTCGTATTAATTATCGTCGAGGCTGTCGATATGCGGAGGAGACTCCTACGCGATCACCCGCTATTCCATAATTGCGACCGCAAAACGTTCTTGCCGTTGCTATGAACACGCGGCGTTGACGCGACACGGGCGTGTGTGGGAAACTTGGTCGTTTTGGACGCTTAAAACCGTATCACGACTTTGGATCGCGTGACAATGAGATCACCCGCAGCAGCTGCAGTCATCTCATGATCTATTCGCGAACCGTATCGATCCAGCCGATCGATTGGAATAATAGGATCTGCGATCGAGTGTTGCGCAACTTTGCTCGTGAACTATAACATTCTGACACGATAACATCGACCTGCTTTGGCAAGTCGAGTGTATGAGCACCGCTTCGACGATTGCTTCGTTTTGTTTGTATTACCGCTAAAAAACCAATTCGGGTGGTCGGTAAAACAAATTTTATATTGACCGTCGCTTTGGGTGGCTTTTGGGAATAGGTGCAGTTTAACGACTTTCAACGTGCGATAATGACTATAAACTATTAAAATCTGATTTAACAGATACAGTAATTGACAATAAATAACCAACCAATAAATACAATTTACATATTATTATTAAATATCACCATCCTTACATTTGTTGTTTCTAGTAATGGCGGTGTGTTGAACACAAAAAAGCTTATAATATGTATTTACACATTAAATAGGATCGGCGACGTTAAATCAAACAACTTGAAATAAATTACCTAAATACTTTTATACCAGTTTTATAGTTTATTAATGTATCGTGTAATAAAAACTATTTGGCCATAAGGAATTTAATAGCTCAAAAGCAATGCGTTGTTAATCTCAGCATAATGGATGACGAATTTTGTAAAAGTTTGCCAAATTATGACTAAGTTACGCAGTAAAATACATTTTTTTAATCATACGGCAAAGCAATGTCTAGGAATACATTATAACCGTAGTGACTGCAGAGTGCCATAAAACGTGCGGTTTTCGATTTAACGACCACTAAACTGATTAATATTGCGTATACCGTAACACTTTAGAGTACGACACAAGGCGGTCTGTGTATAATCCGACTTAGCCGCAAGAAGAACGCCGCAACGCACATATTTTTTAAAATATAGTGCACGAGGTATTAACTTCATCATAAAACTTTGAGTATAATAGCAACATTTTAAATACTTGTCGTGCAAGAGCGCCGTGTTTCCATGTGAACTAAAGTAGAACGCGCTCGTTAATTTTTAACTACCAACAAAGCTTTTAATAAAAAATCAAAGTCCAAATCGTTAGTAACACGTAGAATTTACTTAAAAAATAAATACACGGAATGACAATATTACACGTATTTCAACTTATTTTTTACGGTACAGTTAATTTGATTTTAATTAATTGATAATAATTAATCATTGAAAAAAGAAAAACACGACGTTTATTATTAATTAATTAATTAATATAAAAGAGCTTATTCCGAATGCAATAAAAAAACAGCATATATTAATAGCTTACTCTATTAATTATTTGTATATAAATATAAATGTTTCATTATAATATTAATAACTCATTAAAATAATATTGGCGATATTAGCATAACCAACTTTGTAAGACCAATATTATTAATTTGTTAACTTTTTTTTTTTCAGTTTATTAGTTTACTTGTAAATAATCGCATTACCAAAAAAAGTCTACAACCGGAACTTTTGTAGTATAATTTCACAATATTGAATAATTTTATGCGACTTTGTTATTTATTACATTAATGTAAATAATTCGACGTTATCTG